TGTGGGTCTGGCCACGGGTCCCCTGCTGTCCTCCCCATGAGAAGAACAGCCCTGGCGGACAGGGACCCCGCCGTTCTCCCTACCCCGGCCCACGGTGGGTGCTCTGCAGATACCTGGGCACGGGGAGGGGAGTGTCGGCGGGCAGCACGCCCTGGGCCCTGCCCGCCACACAGTCAGAAGCAAGAACCTCGTGGAGCGGTGTCTGCGAGGACGGGGTGGGTGGGGGATGAGCCCCTTTCCTTCTTCATTGTTTCTGGGGAACATCAGAATCAGAGACCCCGTCCGTGGGTCAAAAATGCACCTTCCCCGGGTGTTAGAAAACAGTGGCCGCGATGAAAAGCTCTGAGGACTCCCCACGGGGCCCTGCCACCCGAGCCACCGCCCTGCTGCCAGAGGCTGTCCCGATCTGATGAGAGGGCTCCCCGGGGGCGGGCTCCCACAGCCCTCAGGGCACCGCAGTGCCCCAGCCGGGCTCACGCTGGTGGAGATCGGTGGGGCAGGCGGCCGGCCCTGCTGGACACGGAGTGTCCCCTTACCTCTCCGACATGCTGCGGCTGGACAGAGCTGCCCAGACCTGCCTGCCACCCCACACGGGGCGAAGGGCGGCTCGGCTTCAGCTGCCTTTGACCACAGAGGCAGCAAGGATGTGACTTCTGGGCTGCCACCTGTCACCTCCTTCCGCCAGGCCCTTGGTGGCGTCAGGTGACGACGTCGGGGCCTGCCCTGGGCCGGACCCTGCTTAAGTCACAGCTCACCTCCACACAGCTGCTTCCCTTGGGCACACGGGGGACCCGGAGGGAAGGGGCCTGTGTAGTCCTGCGGGCCCCACAGTGGTCACTCTTGCAGGTGAGTGCTGGCCCTGGCCGGAGCTCCCCTGGCCCGACCCTGACCCTGACCACTGCAACTGCAGAAACCGAGCCCAGGTCCCCTCGCCTGCCCTGCACCACCTGGCACCAGAAGAGAATTCTGTTCCATCCCGAGCAGAAGCCAGAGCCTCTCGCAGGGAGAACGTGGTCAGTGGCGGCGAAGTCACGGAGCCTGCGGGGGCAGCAGCGGTCTTAGGGTGACGGGTCGGGTTCTGGGTTCCGCTCTCACCGCCCAGCGCTCTGCACCCTCACCTTCCAGCCTCGGGCAAGACGGCTGGAACCCTGAGCCATCGGCTGCCCTGCTGGGTGGAAGTCCCTAAAGGCTCAGGGGCCCCAGCCCAGCCTGGGAACCAATGGATCACTGAGCCCCAGCCCAGGAGGGGCCCTCACAGGACATCTGGAGTCTGGCCCAGGAGACTCTCCCTCTCGAGTCCAAAGGAACCAGCTGCTTGTCAAGGACACACCTTCCGATCTAGAGTACCTTCAATGACAAATAGGGGTGGGGCCTGCGGGCTGGAGCAGCTGGCTCACTCACACCCCGAGGTGGGGCCACAGGGAGACCCAGGGAGCTGGCTGTGTGCAGCCGGGGACGGGGCAGTGATGGCCAACAGTCACACCCTGAGGGACGGGGCAGTGATGGCCAACAGTCACACCCTGAGGGACGGGGCAGTGATGGCCAACAGTCACATCCTGAGGGACGGGGCAGTGATGGCCAACAGTCACACCCTGAGGGACGGGGCAGTGATGGCCAACAGTCACACCCCTGCGGGACGGGGGCAGTGATGGCCAACAGTCACACCCTGAGGGACGGGCAGTGATGGCCAACAGTCACACCCTGCGGGACGGGGCAGTGATGGCCAACAGTCACATCCTGAGGGACGGGGCAGTGATGGCCAACAGTCACACCCTGAGGGACGGGGCAGTGATGGCCAACAGTCACACCCTGAGGGACGGGGCAGTGATGGCCAACAGTCACACCCTGAGGGACGGGGCAGTGATGGCCAACAGTCACACCCTGAGGGACGGGGCAGTGATGGCCAACAGTCACACCCTGCGGGACGGGGCAGTGATGGCCAACAGTCACACCCTGAGGGACGGGGCAGTGATGGCCAACAGTCACACCCTGAGGGACGGGGCAGTGATGGCCAACAGTCACACCCTGAGGGACGGGGCAGTGATGGCCAACAGTCACATCCTGCGGGACGGGGCAGTGATGGCCAACAGTCACACCCTGAGGGACGGGGCAGTGATGGCCAACAGTCACATCCTGAGGGACGGGGCAGTGATGGCCAACAGTCACACCCTGAGGGACGGGGCAGTGATGGCCAACAGTCACACCCTGAGGGACGGGGCAGTGATGGCCAACAGTCACACCCTGAGGGACGGGCAGTGATGGCCAACAGTCACATCCTGAGGGACGGGGCAGTGATGGCCAACAGTCACAACCTGAGGGACGGGGCAGTGATGGCCAACAGTCACACCCTGAGGGACGGGGCAGTGATGGCCAACAGTCACACCCTGAGGGACGGGGCAGTGATGGCCAACAGTCACATCCTGAGGGACGGGGCAGTGATGGCCAACAGTCACATCCTGAGGGACGGGGCAGTGATGGCCAACAGTCACATCCTGAGGGACGGGGCAGTGATGGCCAACAGTCACACCCTGAGGGACGGGGCAGTGATGGCCAACAGTCACACCCTGAGGGACGGGGCAGTGATGGCCAACAGTCACACCCTGAGGGACGGGGCAGTGATGGCCAACAGTCACACCCTGAGGGACGGGGCAGTGATGACCAACAGTCACACCCTGAGGGACGGGGCAGTGATGGCCAACAGTCACATCCTGAGGGACGGGGCAGTGATGACCAACAGTCACACCCTGAGGGACGGGGCAGTGATGGCCAACAGTCACACCCTGAGCAGGGTCTGCGGACGGCTGCTCCTCGCCCACTGGGGCCGGACTGGGCACCCTGACACTGGGAAGGACACCCCGGTCTGAACTCTCAGGATGAGGGACACAGGGCCAGGACCCACAGGAGATGACACAGGAGGGGGTGGCAACAGTCTGCACCCAGAGCTTTGTAGGATCTGACCGCCAGGGCAGGATGCTCCCCGCAGGAGAAAGGTGATAACTTCTGTGACACCCGGCTGGGTGGCCTTGGCCAGGCCTTAGCTGTCCCTGAACAGGCCCCTCAAGCGCCCTCTGGGTCTCCGGCACGCACTGGACCACGAGGACTTGCCATCAGTGGGCACAGAACCGGACGGAGGGAACCCCGCATCCACCCGGGCCTGTGCTCGCGGGAGGATCGAGAGCAGCCGGGAGGGGCAGCAGCCTCCTGACCTCAGGCTGGATGGTTCTGCCAGCAGGCCCACGCGTCAGGCTGCCAGGAACAGGGCAGGCGGGGAGGACGCCAAACGGCCTTTACCTGCCGGCCAGGTGAGGGCCACGCCCTGGTGGGGCAGGATGTCCAAACAGAGCAGGTATGAAGAGAGCGCTTTGTGTTGCTCTGTCTGTGACTCGAGCCGCCCCGCGGGGTGGGGGTGTGTTTGCAGACTGTCTGCCCAGCGAGCCTCTCCCTGCTCCCGCGGTGTTGCCAGAGGGGCCCCGCCCTTCCTGGGAGAGGACAGGCTCCCCGCTCGGCCACCCTGTGATCTCTCCCAGCTCCAGGGCTTCACCCTCCTCCCTTTGGGCCACTTTATGACAAAGACAGGAAGAAGCGTGGGGACGGAGACGTCGAAGGTCACAGGTAGATCTTACAGACACAGGCAAGTCCACATCCTACCCCCTCCAGCACTGGCCTCACAGCCTGGCCTGTGCACGCGTGCGCACACCTACGTGTGTGTGCGTGTGCGTGTGTGTGTGCGCGCGTCCAGAAGGCACTGGCCTGAGGCTCCTGCAGCAGGGCCACCAGGAGCCCTGCCGCCCCCTCGAGCCTCCCTCCTTTTCTGGCACCAGACTGGCAGGACTCCGTTCACATTCGCACTCGGTTCAGCCTCCTCATCCCGCCCTTGGCCTCAAGCCAACAGAGAAGCCTGCGGCCCGGTGTGAGCCCTGAGCTCACTCGGCACTGCTGTGGGCCACCTGTGCGGTGACAAGGTCCTCCTCCACTCACCTGGCACAGGACCAAGGCCACTGACCGAGGGCAGGGTCCAGGGGGCCCTCCAGAGCCCGCGGACCCAGCCAGGGCCTGGTCCCTGCGAGGCCGCACCGGCGGACGGGACGAGGCCCAGCAGGCAGTAAGAACGCACCCACACACTGGACACAGCCCATCCCTGCCAGCCCACATCTGACCTTCAAACCTCGTGCGGCTTGCTCACACAGCTGGCCACAGCGGCGGGGAGCTCTGGAGGTGGGCAGCCCCGGAAGGAGCTGGGTGCTGCCAGGGTGCCGGCTGACTCCCCAGGCTGCTCACTGGCCTGAGCCCGCACACCTGCAGAGGACACCGTGCCGGTTGCCCGGAGCCTCTGTGGATTAGGGCCCCAGGGGCCCTGCCCGGCCAGGTGCGGTCTGTGCGCCCAGAGTGCCCTCTGCTGGGAGAAGGGGGCGGTGCAGGGACCCCGCTGCCTGACAGAGAGGCACTGAGCCCTGCCGAGTCGCAGAGACAAGCTAGAACCTCCCAGCAGCCACTTAACGAAAAAATAACACAAGTAAAAATGAGCAGGTGCGAGTAACAGAAAGTCGTCAGCATGAAAAGGTATGAATGAGCGCTTTCGCCTTCTGCCTCACCACTCAGCCTGTGAGCTCACGTGTCATGACTTCCAGCGCCTGTCCACCGGGGCCAGCCACGCAGGTGCCTGGAGCCACCTGCAGCTCGTGGCTCCCGTGGGGTGGCCCGTGGCTCCAGAGAGCAGCAGCAGCAAGAGAGGTCCCTGCCCACTGGCTGCGGGCGGCCACCTTGAATGGCCCGAGCCTTAGCCCTTTTGTCTCCACGTGACACGTCTCAAATCCGTTCCGAAACGCGGACCCGGGACCAAAGCCGCTTCACGGCGCCGCGGTCGGCTGCGGAGGGCGGCCACGTACCACCCAGTGGATGCCCGCACGCCGCTCTTCCGCTTGGAAAGAGGACCCCCTCTATTTTGGACACGAAACAATGAAAGTGTAGCCACCCAGGAACCTGCGGAGGGAGGTGCTCACCTGAACTTCCCGGTCCGCACCTGCAGCGCCCGCATCCCGCACCGCTGGGCCCCGCCAACGTCGCCCACGATGTCGTCCCCGATCATGACAGCCTGTCATGCAGGAAAAGGCACTCAGAATCCAAGTCAGCAGTTCCCGTCCTATGTCCCTCTGCCTTTTTGACACAAATGCTTGATTTGATGTTTAAAACCACCATCATACAAATTACACAAGGGCCGCATCACCACTCTGCTAATTAACAGTCAACACACCTCAAACACACCCCCACTGCTCCCCTGGGCTCTGAGTGCTGCACTTTTGGGCGATCTGCAATCAATCAGCAGGTGAGCAGGTGTCGTAAGTGACCTGGCACCAGGAAGCCTGGGGCGGGCACTGTCTCGCCTCCACGGGAACATGGGCTGAATTTTACCTACGACCAAATGCCCAGTAGCCGGGTTACTCTGCCAATCGTCGGTTCTGCGAAAACCAAGTGAATCTCTGGCAAATCTTTGAAGGACACAGTTTAAAAGGTTTTGCTTTCCCCCGGCCAGTGTGACTCTGGTTCAGCATCGACCCTGCACCAAGAGGTCGCCTGTTCAATTCCCTGTCAGGGCACATGCCCAGGTTGTGGGCCTGCTCCCCAGTGGGGGGCGTGCAGGAGGCGGCCAATGGATGTTCTCGCTCATCGATGTTTCTATCTCTCCCTCTCCCTTCCCCTCTAAAATCAACAAAGAAAAAAAAAGGCTTTTGCTTTCAATAGTGAAGGTACAACCTATAAAAAGCAAAACAATATGCAAACACACACACACGGAATGTTTGAAGGCTGAACATCCTGTGGAGAAACAGCCTTGAAGACATACTGTCCCACCTGGAACGACTGGACAGTCAGACAGACCACACGAGACGCTGGACATCCAGCAATGACGAACGGCGGGCAGCCCCGTGGAGCTGCGACGCGGGTGGAATCGGTGGCACGTGTGAACAGAAACACGGAAGGTAAGCATCAGGGTCAGCACCGGGACATAGTAAGCTATGTCCGTGTCCAACAGGAAGAAAGGAAACATTCATGGAGAAAACTGCTAACCCAGCCCCACGGGAGAGTCCAGTCCACCGCACGCCGCCTCTGGCCCCGCACTTTGGCTTCGGGCCTTTGAGGGCCGGGCCGTGGGGCTGCAGAGGCAGAGACAGCCCTGCCCCCACGGAGCTGCCAGCCAAGCGCAGAAGACAGAGGGGCATCCGCTGGTTCCTCAAGCACACAGTCAGGACTGTGACGGCGCAGGGGGCTGCGAGGCTCGTGGGCTTGGTGGTGGTCAGGAAAGACTTCCTGGAGGAGGTCCCAGGGGGGGTGCAGGGGGAGGGATGAGAGTATTCCCAGCAGGGACACCATCTGCCACCATTCACCGGGGCAGGCCGCACAATGAATTCCGAAAGGCTGATAAGCCTGAAGCATCTTCCTTGGAAACACCTCCTGAATAGGCCTTCAGAGAAGAAGGGACCATCGGGAGCTTGTGGACAAAGACCAAGACGAAGCTGGTGGAGGCAGCAGAAACCGGGGGCTTTTCCAACCGCTGCACAGACTGCGCCCATCACTAATCACCCTCCGGCAGAGGCTGCAGGGCGAGGCCGGCCGGGGGCGGAGACCGCGGCCCTCGGAGGAGGGACTCTCCTGGAGGAGCAGACGCCCGCCCGGGCCGAGGGGGGCGGGAGAGCGGGTGAGGGGACGCCGGGTGCCCGTCTGGGGCAGCGATGCCTGTCCGGCCAGCTTGTGGGTTCCGAATACCAAACCGCACCGGGCCCGGGGGATTTCACAGATTTACTATCGGTGAAGGGCAATAATCGCATGAGGAGGAGCAATTATTGCCAAATCATTGAGGATTTAAAAAATCATTGGTGAGAAGATGGAGGTCAAGAGGTGTGCTGTCGGGGGAAATAAAGAAGCCGCACCTGTCAGCCCGGCTCGTGCTTCCTGACTGCGCCGCGGACGGAGGAGGACAGAGCCGCGCCGCAGGCGCCTGCAGACCCCGGAGTCCGGAGCGAGCGGGCCCACAGCCCCCTGGCGCGGGCTCAACAGCAGACCCAGTCGTTCTGAAATGTCTGTGTGCCTGCCATGGTGTCTGTGCCACCCTAGGTGCCCGGGGAAGAACCATCGAATGTGTGACGTTTGTGACGTTTGTGAGTGCTGCCGAGCTTCCCAAGGGAGCCGGGGCTTCACGGACATTCTGGCTGTCGGGGGCAGGGGTTCCTCCTGGCCCTCAACTCCTCCCTGACCTGACACCCAGCTAGGGGGCAGGGCGGGGACAGCATTCTGTGGACACCCCTGATGGGGAAGGGCCAAAGGAGAGATGAGTAGCCCTAAGTAGTCCCCATGTGGGTGTCTGCTCCCCACCCCACAGCTGGGATTAGTGTCCTGAGACCCAGGGAACAGAGCGATGGGCAGAGTCCACGTGAGTCCACGCTTTATGCCCCGCTCTTCGATGAACCGACACGCCTCGCCCCGTGTCTGATAGGCCGTCCCGAGGGCATTAGCCCTCACAACCCAAGATCTCGTCTAGCTTTATTTCTACAGTTTGTATTCTGCCAACTGTGTGTGTGTATAAATATAAATACAAATATAAATGTATATATATATGTGTGTTGTATTTTTTCTACACTAAAAAATATTATACTCCTGCCCAGCCGGTGTGGCTCAGTGGCATCCACTCTCCTAACCCCACCCCACCTGCTCCAGCCCAAGTCCCCGCAGCTGCCCAATGAGAAGCCCAGATTACCCTGACTTCCCCCCATGGGGGCCTCGGGTTCCCTTTGGGGTGTGGGGAGGGCAGATTCCCATTCAGAAGGTAAAGATGAGACGGAAAGTAACAGGAAATGCCCAACAGAAACAGACGGAAGGGGCACATCACCTAGGCTGGAAGCACTGTCAGCTCCCCGGTCCCCCTTCCGGCGGCAGTGTCTCGGGGTGTGTGGGGGGGGGTGAGAGGGACGGCTGTGATCACACTGCTCACGTAATTCCAAATACTGTTGTTTTAACCTGCCTGGCCAGTGGGGCTCAGCGGTTGAGCGTCGACCCTGCACCAAGAGGTCACCGGTTCAATTCCCGGTCAGGGCACATGCCCAGGTTGTGGGCCCGATCCCAGTGGGGGGCACGCCGGAGGCAGCCAATCGATGTTCTCTCTCATCGATGCTTCTATTTCTCTCTCCCTCTCCCTTCCTCTCTTTCTAAAATCAATAAAGAAAAATTATTTAAAAAGCACGTAAGCCCTGGACTGTTTGGCTCAGTGGTTAGAGCGTCAGCCCTCGCATAGAAGGGTCTCGGGTTCGATTCCCGGTCAAGGGCACATACCTGGGTTACAGGTTCGATTCCGTGCCCCACTTGGGGCACGTGTGGGAGGCAACCGACCGATGTGTCTTTCTCACATTAATGTCTCTCTCTCTCTCTCTCTCCTCCCTCCCTTCCACTCTAACAGTCAATAGAAAAAATATCCTCCAGTAAGGATTAACAACAACAACAACAAAATACTTAAGAATCACGTTGACCAATCACAACTCAAGGACCTTCTTGAATCCTGACCCAAACACTGGGTCAGCAATACAATGATAAGACAATCAGGGAATGAGGACAATGACTGGCTCTGTGATGACGTGATGGAATCACTGTTAGTGCCATTCAGATGTGACAGTGGCACTGTCCTGTGTCTTTAAAAAGAAATTCCTGCCTTTTGGAAACACAGAGATATTTACAGATGAAGTGATACAATATCTGGGATGTGATTCAAAATATTCTAGGGGGGAGGGGAGGGTGGGTGGTCGCTAATCTTGAAAGGGGTCTGACAGCCAGACAGAGGACAATCTGAGCAACAGAATCAATAATGATTGAAATGGATTGTAGCTCATGAAACAAAACAGTATTCTGAGTTCACTGTTGAAAAAGTAAGTAAAGGGGAGAAAAAGGAAGCTCTTCCTTACAGCAAATTCTACTGAATACACTCGGATGGGACATGGAAACAAAACGACCATTTGGCAAACAGCACGGTAACTGTGTCAGGTAAGATTGGTCAATGGATGCTAAAATTAGGAGGGAAAAGAATAAGAGGAAGAGGATATTTACAGAGTGTCAAGTGCTTTCCCATAAGATACTGATTATCACAAAGGGACAAACAGTGACTCTGCGCTGGAAAGCCCTGGCCGACACCACCTCCGACGGGGATCAAAGAGAACATCACCAGTAACGGGCAAGGTGCCCCTTGCCTCCGTGGGATGTACGCAGAGGGCACAGCACTGTTCCTGCCAAACACGCATGACCTACAATCAAATCATGAGGAAACATCAGGAAAACCCAAACCGAGGGACATTCCACAGAACAACTTCAAAAAAGTCACAGTCCCAGAAGACAAAGACTGGGGAGCTGCCCAGAGTAAAGAACACGCGGGGACCGGCTACTGAACACAAGTGGCCCTAAAAAGCCATTGGTGGGGCCCTGGCCAGTATGGCGCAGCGTTAGGGCACTGGCCCACGGGCCAATGAGACCCGGGTTCGATTCTGGCCAAGGGTATGTACCTTGGTTTCAGTTTGTCCCCGGCCCTGGTCGGGGTTGTGCAGGAGGCAACCAGTTGATGTGACACATCGATGTTTCTCTCTCTGTTTCTCCCTCTCTCTCCCTCCCACTCTATCTAAAGATAAATGGAAAAATATCCTCGGGTGAGGATTTAAAAAAAGCCATCGGTGGGATGTTGATGACGTCTGCCGGTCTCCAGGTTAATAACAGTGTGTACTGGTGCTAATTTATCATTGTTTTATGATTGTTACGTAAGATGTTAGCATTTGGGAAGCTGGTTTGAGGGCATACGGAAATTCTTTGTATGGTTTTCACACCTTTTTTGTACTGTGAAATTCCTTCAAAATGAAGAGTTAAAGACAATTTTTAGAAGTGGTTTATTAGTTGACAGTTACTGAGGCTCGGGGATGGGGACACGGGGCTCATGACGCCACTCTCCCTACGTGCACAGAGCTGAACTGTTTCAGGACGAGAGTTAAAAAGAGATTTAAGAGACAAAACAGCCACAGGCAGGCAGGTACAGACCTTGTTTGGATTTGATTCAAACAAATCAATGTAAAAGAACACTTCTAAGGCAATCAGGAACATTTAAATCTGGACTGGAACAGTAAGAAATATGGATTGATACCGGAGACTATTAAGGAATTACTACTGATTTTAGGGGGTGGATTTTTTTCCCACTGGGATAAAATGCACATCCTAGTTACCAAGGCAACCATTCTGAAGTCCCAGATCGGTGGCACTGAGCACGTGCGCAGTGTTGTGCCGCCATCCAGTCCCAGGTGTTCATCACCCCAAGGAGACCTCAGACCCGGTCAGCTGTCACCCCCCCCCCCGTACCCCACAGCTGCTCTAGCTCACGTCTCCCTGGACACGGCATGTAAATACCGCACATAAAAGGGGCCTTTGGGAGAGGCTCCTTGCACTTACCATGTTTGCCACCCACATCATAGCACCTCTCAGCGTTTCATCCTTTTTATTTTTTCCTTTATTGATTTTAGAGAGAGAGGAAGGAAGAGGGAGAGAGAGACAGAAACATCAATGAGAGAGAACATGCACTGGCCGCCTCCTGCACGACCCCGACTGGGGATCAGGCCCACAACCTGGGCACGTGCCCTGACGGTTACTTCCAGGTGCGTGGGTTGATGCTCAGCCACTGAGCCACACCAGCTGGGCTGTGCGTTTCATGATTACGGCATCTACGTGGGTGTGCGGTGGGACCTCACTTGGTCTGCTCTGCATTTCCCTACTGACTCAGGAGGCTAAGCGTCTCTCCTGCGGGCCTCTTGGCCATGGTTCGGTGTTCTAGGCACTGTGTGGTTGTGTTTGAAGTCACTTTTCTACAGGCATACTATGATATGAAAGGCTACAACAACAGTAAGTCTGGATTTGCTTTAAAACACAGGAGTGAGCCGGGACAGTGTGGTTCAGTGGACTGAGCACCATCCCATGAACTGAGAGGTCCCGGTTCTATTCCCGGTTGGGGCGCATGCCTGGGCTGCGGGCTCGATCCCCACTAGGGGGCGTGTGGGAGGCAGCTGATGATGTTTCTCTCTCCCTCTTCCTTCCTCTCTCTCTAAAAAATCCATAAAAACATATTTTAAAAAGAAAACAAATACAAGAGTGAAATAAAGTAAATTTTTTGAAAGGAAGAAAGAAAAGGGGTAGACGAAGGGAACTGTCGAATCTGGGTGACGATTACATGGGGAAAATCACTATTATTCTGCTTTTGTGCGTTTGTAATTTGTCACAAGAGATTCTGCCCCAGAAAACAGTCACAAAACAACAGTTTGGTTACTCCTGCCGTCTTCATTCACCCAAACAGCCTCACAGGGCATTTCCCGGGCACCCGAGACCCCGTGCCTTCTGACATCAGTGGACACCGGGGGCTTCGAGCACAGAGGGCCCAGATTCCTGTGGCTGTGGGCGTCTTCCCCTGAGCGGGCACAGACCAGTGCCCCAGAGCGGAACCCGTGGGAAATTCAGGCCTGACAGACAGGAGGCCACGGTGATCGGGGGCACTGGCCTCGCCGCAGGATCTCGACCCCCACGTCCACAGACAGCAAGGCAGCCTTGGGCCGGCTTCAGACAGGGGCCAGTTTCTCCCACAGTGCTCTCCGGACACCACCAGCTGGGGGGACCAACCCCGCATGACCTGGGGCGGGCACCGTGCACACTAAAACCGTAACTGCTGGTTTCTCGTTAAGACGTACGTTCGGAAGGCAATCTGTCTGCAAAGAGCCATAACGTAAAGGTGGCAAGACACAGGGCTTCGTTTTACACACTTTCCGACCTAGCCGCACGCTGTCCTCCCGGGGAAGGGCTCTGGGGCACGGCCAGCTCCTGTCCTCTCAGCGAGGCGAATGTCCCTGAGAAAGGCCGCAGCACCTGCTGTTCACTCACACGGAAACGGACGTGACAGGCCGGATCATTCCGTGGTCCCCTTCGCTGTCTATGTCCCTCTTTCCAGCCACGTCGCTCTCGTGGTGGTGGTAGGGGGTCCAACAAGGCTGCCTGAGCCCTCAAACCCCCAGGCGGCCCTATGCGAGGTCCCCGGGCCTCCCGACACCGCTGCCTCCCCACGCACCCCGTGAGGGCGACCTACCTGGCAGGCCTCAACCCCCATCTCCTGCAGGGCGGACTTGAAAAACTCGGGAGAAGGCTTCCCCACCACCTCGGCCTCCACACCACAGGCGTACTGCAAGAGAGGACGCAGGTGGGTTTGGGGCGCAGCGACAGAGCACCCCGCCTGCAGGGAAGGCCTCCCTCTGGGGAACCGGGCGAGACTGCCCCAGTGCGCGCCTGTGGGCAGGGGCCGCCAAGGGCAGGACACATGAGCCGGGAGACACGTGAGCCGAGCGGCTGGAACACGGTGATGCCCCAGCGGGCTGCCCGGGATGCTCGGGGCCATCGCCAGGAACCCCATGGGGGGCGGCCCACAGCGGGCAAAGTCTCGAGGCATTGCGTGGGCCACCCTGACCGGTGTCCCACTTGCATTCCTGCTTCTCCCCTCCCTTCTCCGCTGCCCACCCCAGCTCCATCACGGTTCCTCCGTGACAGAAGGCCCAGGGCTCCACTTCCCGTCGGTCCGTCCCTCCCACCTGCGTGCAGGTAGGTAGTGAGGGTGGGCGGTGACAGGAGCTGGCCTGGGGCAGCAGCCTAGGCCGGGGACAGACGACCAGCGGTGGGTCAGATGGACGCTGGGGAGCCCCATCTGGGCCTGGCCTTCAGAGTGGGGGAGGGAGTCAGGAAGGAGTCCAGTGAGGACGTGTCAAGCTCAAGGTGTGACAGGCAACCAGGGTCAGGGGTGACACAGAGGGTCCACACAGATACAGAGTCCAAGGGGACAGCGGCAGAGAGCATGCTGGGAGGGCCAGTGAGCAGCACAGGGCATGTGTGGGAAGAGGGGCAGGAGGGCAGAGTGACCAGTGCAGCCGCGTGGCCAGGTTCCAGCGCAGGGGGCCTGGGGTGAAGCCCCACATAGGAGGGCCTACTTTGAAAACACAGAAAGCCACTGGAACACTGAGCACACCCCTGCCTCCAGAAAGACCAGAGACATCTCAGGAGCCCCGAGATCTGACAAGGGCTCGGACAGCCTGGGGATGGGTACCTCGAGCGCCTTCATGTAGCCACCAACGTCCAGCATCAGGCCCGAGGTCACCTTGTAGTAGCGTCTAGACAAAAGCAGAGGGGACAGTGAGCTGAGCTCAGGCTCCGGGAAGTGGCAGAAGCCGCCCGACCTGTTCTGGAGGGCCGAGTCGGCATGAGGGTCCGTCCAGGTGCCACGCCGAGAACGACCAGTGGCCCAGGCTGGAGACACAGTGGGCCAGCAGCTCTGGTCGGAACAGCCCCGCTGCCAGCTTTGTGGGGCCTCTGCCACAGTGATTAGCAGGACTGAGGGGCAGATGGACGCAGTCCCCGACACAGAAAGACAAGAGACCTGTGTTCTGGGAAGGGACAGCAGGTCCGCAGAGCATGTGGTGGACCCTAACTGCTAATAATTAACCCCTAATTGCGCCCAGAGAAGAAAACATTAGTTCCACTGCACCCGGCCGCATCTCCTACCAACTAGAGGTCAGCAGACGTGCCAGGTGCCACGGTGACAGATGCTTTCAGGAGAAGACAGCCAGGTCTTCCCCGTCTCCCTGGGGACCAAGATGGCAGGGCCCTCGGGGAACCCACCTCATCAGTCACCCCTCCCCCTCCCGTGCCCTTCGAATTTGGGAGCCGTTAGCCACGCGTGCACACAGGGCCCAGAAGCATGCTGGCCTCAGGTCCAGGCCTCTCCGCTGCCTGTCAGTGTGGGACTTTGGGCGGCTACAGCTCTCTGGGCTTCAGTCCCTGATCTGTAAAATGGGCCCAGGAAAAAAAAGACCCAACCAGTACCTACTTCATGGACTGTACTGAGGCGTGAACTAAATAAGGCATGCAGAGTTCTTCATGAAGTCTAGCATGTGGAAACTGCTCGAAGAAATTCAGGGAATGTTACTACACACAGCGGTTCACTGAGACAGAGACTGGGGAGCAGGCGCTAAGACGGGAGCCGGGGAGGGAAGGGGGCCACAGAAACCTGTTCTGTGCCCCTCTGCACCGTGAGCGCTGCGCTGGTCCCTAAGCCTGCGCCCAGTGCTCCGCCGCCTGCCCCTCTCCGCCCCCGAGGCCTTGAGGCTGCAGGAGCCCGCGCTGCCCGCCAGCACCCATCCCCCCGGCGTCCAGGCGGGCAAGCGCTCTGCGCCCTGGCTCGGTGTCGCAGGCCTCGGCAGCTTGCGGGCCGGGTGCTGCAGCCAAACCCTTGGCCTTGACAGTGGTTCCCTGTCCTTCACCCTGTGGGTGGATTCTGAGCCTTGAGCCCTTTGTTGAAGCCATGGGGGCATCTCCTGTTGTGACAGGACGCGCTGGCCTCCAGGTGAACCCCAGGCCTCTTTCTCGGGGCCACGGACCAGCTGGGACACCACACGTGTTCAGCTAGGTGCCTGGTGGCCAGAGAGGACTGTCACCTGCTTACAGAATCAGTACCTACAAATGCTCCCCCCTTTTAAAGGGTGACCCCAAAACACAGGCTCAGAGGTCCGGGTTGCATTTGTCTTGAGCCCGGATGTAGACAGGTACTCTGCATTGGTACAGCCTCTAAACAGTTCCCTCTTTTGTCCTGTTTCTGCAGAAACTACTCTGCTAGGACGACTTCCCTGGCCGGGCCCAGCTGTAAGGTGCAGCAGTGTAAAGGGGACGAGGGCCACTCTGGATGCTGGGGCCTGTGGTCGCAGGCGCCGTGGCTGGTCCCCGGACATCTAGGACACAACCACCGCTCAGCCCTGGCAGGACTCGGGGACACTCCCAGACCCAGGCTCCCCGCAGGGACTCCTGGTCGGTGGAGGAGCAGACAAGTCCACAGACAAACGCAAGAGGGCAGGTCAAGGGCGACCACAAGGGGAACTCGGTGAGCTCAGCTCGCGGGGCTGCACCTGCTGCAGACAGGGAGACGGGCAGGCGTCCCAGAGAAGGCGCATCAGAGCTGAGACCTGAAACTAAGGGAGGGGATAAAAGCCTCCGGGCCTGGGACCCTCGGAATCGACAGCAGCACCACTGAGGACCCCGCGGGCTGCTCTAGGCCTCCACCAGGCACCGGGACAGCCGCTCTCCCTGGGGACTGGGGCCGGGTGGGGGGGGGGGGGCAGCGGCTTACGCAAAAGCCAAAGGAAAAATTACAAAACCATGTCACCCTGTTGCAACAGGCCCAGCTCTGCTTGGAGCGGAGGATTCTGGGGGCCTCTGGCCCAGGCCCAGGCCCGGCTGGAGGAGGCAGGAGCTGGTGTGCCTCCCCTTTGGCAGAACCTCCCAGGGAAGCCACGCGGCACAACCTCTGCCCGTATCACAGCCCTGGTCTTTCTTCCAAAGTGACAGAAATCTGCACTTTCTCAAGTTTCAGTTTAGTCCTGACAGGAGGAAAAAACTGAAAATGCAGCTTGAAATACACAATTAAAACCCTGTCCCACCCTGGCTGGTTTGGCTCAGCCTGAAGATAAATAAAAAAACAAAACAGAAAAAAACCTTGTCTTTTACACCTGAAACAAACACAAAATATCATATGCAAACTGTCATTAAAAAATAAAATAAAGCCCTGGCCAGTTTGGCTCAGCGGTTAGAGCATTGGCCTGCGGTCCAGAGAGACCCGGGTTCGGTTCCCGCTAAGGGCATGTACCTCGGTTGCAGTTTGTCCCCAGCCCTGGTTGGTCGTGCGGGTGGCAGCCACTCAATGTGTCCCTTCACGTCGATGTTTCCCTCTCTCTCCCTCCTACTCTATCTGAACAAAAAAATTGGAAAATGTCCTCAGGTGAGGATAAAAAAATAAAAATTAAAAAAATTAAAAAGCCTTGTCTTTGTTACATGAATTTTTAGTCTAAATAAACAACTGACTTCCAAAATCAAAATTAGAAACCTTAACGGTCCCCTTTTAAGAGAATCTGGGCTTGTTTATACAGTGCTCAGAATTTTTCCTTATTTCTTATTCATTCAGGAAAACAAGAAAGTGTCTTCAAGGCCATCTGTTAGCTAAAAACATTTTTAGAGACACAAGAAATGTAAGTACAAAAGGTAATTTTTTAAAGTATAAAAGCCCAAGTGTGCAGAGGTTGGACCTCATCTCTTCTGCTGCTGACGTAATAAAGCTTCACCAGCCCTGGCCGGGTCCCGGGCACTCGGCCGCGGAGGGGCGGCTGGGGGCAGACAGGAGCAGCGGGCAGAGACGATGCTTTTCCTCCTGCTCTTCCGATTATTCAGCACAGCCTCCCTTCAAAATGATCACTTGACCTTTCCCACAAGAGCCATTAACCTTCCATAGTCTGTCGCGTAAACAGCTTAATTTTCTGACGCCGGCATGACAGGAGAAATTACAAAGGCAATTCCCGCTCTCGGTCCAAACAGATGCCAATGTAAATCACTCCGCAGCCAGGAGCAGGGCATTCTGCCCCAGTGCGTCCGCCGTCCTGCCTCCTGCGGGCGCCGCGCGGCCCTGCACCCGGGAGGACGGCCCTGCGGCCGGTGACCCCGCTGGTCATGACAGCTCTTCGGGGTCCTCGGGCCGCCCTGCAGCCCTGCAGCCCTGCACCCGGGAGGACGGCCCTGCGGCCGGTGACCCTGTGGTCATGACAGCTCTTCGGGGTCCTCGGGCCGCCCTGCAGCCCTGCAGCCCTGCACCCGGGAGGACGGCCCTGCGGCCCGGTGACCCCGCTGGTCATGACAGCTCTTCGGGGGTCCTCGGCCGTCTCGAGAAACTGACCGGGCCCGAGAGGTATCGGTTCCTTTCCTTCTCTGCTTTCTGAGCACCAAACCGCTAACGGCATGAGAACCCCACCAGCCGGAGACCCCACTAACCACTTCTCTGTGAAATAAATAAGCCTGAGATCGAATCTGCTACAGAATTACAAAGCAAATCCAACGGAGTCCATATTTTTTTCTTTTTCAACAACATCTATTTTGACTACTACCCATGAGCTGGAATAATATTTAACAATTAGAGACAATTTTAAAGGAAAAGGTTTTCACATAAATGAGTTATAACAGAGTTTTTCTTTTTAAAAAAATGGGTTCTACTCTTGAAAAATTTAAAGATGTGTTTTTATTTATTTTTCAGAGAGAGAGAAACATCGATGTGAGAGCAAAACATTAACTGGCTGCCTCCTGCACGCCCCCTACTGGGGATCGGGCCCACAACCCGGGCACGTGCCCTGACCGGGAATCGAACTGGGACCTATCAGTCCACGGAGGACGCTCCATCCACTGAGCCACACCGGCCGGGCTATAACAGAGTCTCTTCACTAGGTTGTTCTCTAGTGATGAGTCGGAAATGTAGGGGTGCCTGAAGGACCGAGCCCGGACCGTGAACGAGTCCAGCAGGCCAGGTTCTGTGGTTTGCACTGACCCAAACTGCAGAAGGTTGTATAGTTACAAACGGACTGTGACAGTTAACTGGGTGTGTCCGCTCGGCTGGGCCAAGCTGCCCAGACACTGGTCAGACATTATTCTGGATGTTTCTGAGAAGGTGTTTCTTAGATGAGATTAATATTTTTTTAAAAATTGATTTTAGTGAGAGGAAGGGAGAGGGAGCGAGAGAAAGAAACACTGATGAGCGAGAACATCCATTGGCCGCCTCCTGCATGCCCCCCACTGGGGATCGGGCCCACAGCCTGGGCATGTGCCCTGACTGGGAATCGAACCTGCGACCTCTTGGTGCAGGATCCACACTCAGCCACTGAGCCACACCGGCCGGGCGAGATTAACATTTAAACCAGTGCACCCTAAGTAAAACAGGTTGTTCTCCAAAACACCACGGGCCTTGTCTACTCAGGAGAAGACCTGGATAAGAACACAGTCCGACCTCCCTGAGCAAGGAGGAATCTGCCTTTGGACCCAGAATGCACCTCTTCCTGCGTTTCCAGCCTGTGGGCCTGCCCAGAGACTCTGGACCTATGGAGCCTCCGCGTCAATTTCTCCTCTCTCTCTGTCGGCTGCTTTTCTGGAGAACCCTCACTAGTACAGGACACATTTTATTTGTATGGTAAACACACTAGAATATTTTTAGTTCCTAAAAGAAATAGCTCCTCTCTCTTCTTTCTTGAATTGTCTTTGCTGCTTTGATGGCCTCACAGCCATGAAGAAGTCCGTCTCTCTGCGCGCACAAACAGTGAGGTCACGGCAGCGGACCGCGGCGTGGAGAGGGTGGCAGGGAGCGGGGAGGTCCATGGGCCTGACGAGCCGTGGCCCCAGCGGCAGCTGTGTGCTCGGGGGTGTGGGGCCCAGGGCTGTCAGACCTGCTGATTTTCCAAAAGAACCCAGAAATCTAGATATTTTATGTAAAATCTCCTAATTTTTAAACACGGGTTCAGAAATGTCAAGGTCTTGTATGGCCTAACATCTGCCCTAGGATGCCCCCAAGAGGGGTGAGCACAGGCTCTGGGGGCGCTTCCGGCCCTGCCTGCACTTCCTTCACCCCGCCCGCCCCAGTATGCCCACCTGTCAGATGGCAACAACACTGTCCCAGCCCCCAGGGCCGTGGTCGAGATCAGACAATGTGGAGTACACAAAAGGCCCAGCAACAGCTGGCAGCCAGATAAGAAGCCCCTCCCGCCTTGGCCAGTGTGGCTCAGCGGTTAGACATCGGCCCATGACCAAGGAGCAGCGGGTTCGGTTCTGGTCAAGGGCACATACCCTGGTTGCGGTTCGGCCCCCGGCCTTGGTCGGGGTCATGCGGGAGGCGGCCAGTCAATGTGTCTCACATTGATGTTTCTCTCTCTCTCCTACTCTGTCTGAAGATAAATGAAAAAATATCTTCGGGTGAGGATTAAAAAAAAAAAGTCCCTCCCTTGTCTGTTGGAAAAGCGGGCCCAGTCGGGCAGGCAGGGCGGGCTTCTCCAGAGAGGCCCAGGCCACCGGCTCTGCTTGAGAAGCTGGGGGTTGGGGGGCTGGGGTTCCAGTGTCCTTGACACCCGGAGAGCCTGCGATCCTTGAGTCCTGGTGCTGCTTCTGCGATGCCAGGACACATCTGCACGGCTCTCTGCACAGCACCGTGGCACCAGGAAGCTCAAAACACACCCCATCCGAGATGTCACGGGCTGCCTGGGCTGGGAAGTCCGAAAGGGCCTGAACGTCCCTCAGCGGCATCGGGTGAGCGTCCCACGGACAGCCACGCGAGGGGTCCCCAGGCCACAGGGAAGGCTACGCACTGAATGGGGAGCTGTTCACAAAACGATGTTTGTGGACAACAGAAACCAGGGGACCACAGCAGGAGCAGCGAGCACCGGTCTGTGACGGTCTGGCCGCTGGGAAGGACACACATCCACACGCTGACCGCTGTTCTCGTGCAATGGGCCTGAAGATCCGGCTCATGTCCTCCTTCTTGCCCGTCTGCTCTCTCTCATTTTTCTTCAGTGAACACGTGACATCTGGGTGGTCAAGGACGTCAAAAAGGACAACCAGCAGTCCGGCCGGTGTGGTTGAGCGTCGACCCTGCACCAGAAGGTCGCTGGTTCGATCCCCAGTCAGGGCACATGCCCAGGTTGTGGCCCGATCCCCAGTGGGGGGCATGCAGGAGGCGGCCAATTGATGTTCTCTCTCATCAATGTTTCTATCTCTCTCCCCCTCTCCCTTCCTCTCTCCCTAAAATCAATAAAGAAAAAATAATAATAATAACCAGCATGCTTTTTATTTTTAAATCCTCACCTGAGGACATTTTTGCATTTATCTTCAGACAGAGCAGAAGGCAGTTGGGGGGAAGAGAGAGAGAGAGAGAGACATCGAGTGGCTGCCACCCACACGACCCCAACTGGGGCTGGGAACAAACTGCAACTGAGATACGTGCCCTTAGCGGGAACCGAACCCGGACTCTCGGGTGTGCGGGCCGACGCTCTAACCGCTGAGCCAAACCGGCCAGGGCACCAGCAAGCTTTTTTAAAAGAAAGAAATGCCCAAGGCTCAGACGACAATGGTCACAAAGTCACCACTTGGCAGAGACCACGCTCCGCACCTGAGCTTGGGGTCCCCAGCAGAGCCTCCTGCAGGCGCTCGAGCCTGTTGCTCACTACTTGGGGGTCCCCTTGGCACAGCCCCTCAGCGCCCGGTGCTGTGTCCTGGGCAAATGCACCTGCCCCCTTGGCTCTGACCTCCGGGCCACTTGCCCCACCCCTGAGACCCCCAAGGGCAATGACCATTTACAAGGACCCTCCCCTGCACGCCCGCCTCTCCCTGCCCGGGGGCCACACGGACGCCTGACCAACCAGCTCCTTCGGGTTCAAATTTCCTTAAAAATTATTAAAAGAATGGAAGAGAAAAAGCAAGTGACAGGAGGGAGGAAAAAGGATGTCACCCTGTGCCCACCCCGTGCCCACCCCGTGCCCACCCCGTGCCCACGTTTCCGCATCCTTCTGTGCTCGGTTCTGAGTCACAGACCCAGAAGCAGGTGTCCCTGGAGCCGACTCACCCCTGTCCCAGGGAGATGAGCACAGGCGTGTCCAGCCCCATGAGCACCTGGAAGGCTTTGTTCATGTTCTGGTAAGAAAAACCCTCGCCCGCGTCTGCGATGACGACGCAGTTCGGGTCGGACGTGTCGACCTGATCAAATTCTGAGCGGACTTCTGGGGAGAGAAAGAGGAGTAAGGCCGGGGCGGGTGGCCTCCGTCTCCCCCAGGCCCCTCCTGCCGGCCACACCTGCTCGGCTGAGGATTTAAAAAACATGTTTCACGCTAAAACGCTGGGGGGTGGGGGAAATTCCTCAGCAACTGAACTTGAGACCTGGATGGTGCTCATGGGCCGAAGGGTCTCCGGTTCAATTCCCGGTCAAGGGCGTGGGTTGCAGGCTCGATCCCCTGCGGCAGTCAGGGCCGCGTGGGAGGTAACCCATCGAGGTCTCTCACACTGATGTTTCTCTCTCCCTCATTCCACTCTATCTAAAGATCAGTGAAAAAATATCTCCGGATGAGGATTAACAAAACAAACAAACAAAAAACATGATAAAAGATTCAAAGTCTGGAGACGCAGGTCCGTTTATGGAAACTATGGCTACGGGGCAGCAGCGGAGAAAGAGCCCCCGGCTTCCCCTGCAGCCAACTCACCGTCTGCTCCACCGAATCTTCCTCTCCGCCTGCCCCCCGCCCCCCGCCCTGGGGACTGGCACTTTCTTTACTGAGTCTTTTTCCTTGAGGGCTTGCTCCAAAGACACTGGCTCACAGAGAAGGGCTGAGAACCAGGGGCTCCCAGGGAACGCCTCCCCCTGGGAGCCCACCCCTGCTGGGACGCCGGAAGGCCCGCCAGGGGTTTGTGAGCACAAAGACCAAGTGCGGAGGGAGGAGGGAGGAGAGACACAGAATGTCCCGGCTTCAAAGCCACTTCTGTCTGGTTTCCCCTTCTCCAGGGCAGGCTGCACCCCTCCCTTCGTCCGGAGAACGCCCGCTGAGGGCTGAAGGCGCGCTGCCCGGCACTCAGACGAACCAGGGTGCCAACTCCGTACGTTCACCACAGAGCAGGGCTCTTCGCGAACTCAGCTCAGCTTCGGGACCTGGACACTGGGAGCCTCCACCTCCATCTGCCTCCTCATCCTCTCCCTCCCCACCCCCACGGGGACCAGAGCTGGGATCTTACTAAGTCTTGACCGTCCGTATCCTAGACCAAAGGCAGCTTGGGTTTCCTCCGAGGAGCCTCTGGAAGCTGCCCCAAAGGACCCGCTGTATGAGGCCGGGGGATGGATGGGGCCCGCATTTCCACCCACAGGCCCAGGTGTGACCTCTGTGCCCTTTCCAGTGGTGTAGTCAGGGGAGGGGTGCTGTCCCTGGCCCAGGCTGGGGGGGGGGGCCTACCGTCATGGACCAGCAGGTGTGGCCGGGGGAGGGGTGCTGTCCCTGGCCCAGGCTGGGGGGGGGGCCTACCGTCATGGACCAGCAGGTGTGGCCGGGGGAGGGGTGCTGTCCCTGGCCCAGGCTGGGGGGGGGGCCTACCGTCATGGACCAGCAGGTGTGGCCGGGGGAGGGGTGCTGTCCCTGGCCCAGGCTGGGGGGGGGCCTACCGTCATGGACCAGCAGGTGTGGCCGGAGTCCTCGCTCTTTCAGGAGCTGGCAGGCGGCTGGGGGCGGGGCGGTCACCTCGCCCTCATGGATGTTGAAGCCCAGGCTGCGCAGCTCCCCGACCAGGCGACTGCGGGACTTCTGCGACTCGTTGGTGCAGAACCTCACCTTCAGCCCCGACCGCTTCAGTCTGGGGGTGCAAACAGGTGGGGTGCTGTTACCAGGCAGGGCGTGTGGCCTCCTGGGGAGAGGGCTGGATGATGCTTCTCCAAGGGCGACCGGCACAATTCCTGAGCAGGCCAGTCCCTGAGGTCCCGAGGTGGCCGTGACAGACCCGGAGTGTTCGGGGTGGTCTTTCTGAGGGAGCAGACCCTTTCTGGGGGACCCGTCCATACCCTCACATCCGTCCTTCTCGTCCTCCCTGAACTGGGCACCTGAGACTCACCTGGGTTCCCACCGACCTGTGCCCAGGCCTCCCTTCTCACTTGGGACACGTCTCTGCTCCCTCCACCCAGGACGTGTCCCCACTCCCTCTGCCTGGGACACGCCTCTCCACACCGCCTCCCACCTTGGGTGACCACAGACACCTCCTTGCACCGCCCTCGCCCTCGGCCTGGCTGGGGGTCCCCTCCTGGCAATTTCTCTTTCCCCGCAATCCGCGCTCTCACTTTGCATCTGAACTGTACTAGTTAACTCTGGGTCCCTGTCCCCAAAGGGCAAAGGTCCGGGGCCCACGCTGAGGTCCCAAGCTGGGGTTCACCTTATCGCTGTCACCTCTGTGCTCCGTGAGGTCAGGAAGGGGATCTGCTCGGCCCTCCTCGGCACCCCCTGCTTGGTGCACAGCAGGCCCTGAGAGGTGTCCACTGAATGACCGAATGGTGCCAAGTCCAGACGACGGCCGGCGAGAGGGACGCTTCCTCAGCATCGCGCCCTGCACACCGCCTGCCTCCCCGAGGGCGTCCCGAGCCTGCAGCCCCCACGGCCCTGACAGGAGCACACGGGACTCCCCCGCGCCCCTGGCCCCGGGCGCTGCAGCTGACGGTGACGGGGACAAACCTGCGGAGCTGCAGACGGCAGAGGGAAGGCCACCCGGAGCCAAGTGTCTGCCCGCGCCCAGGTGACTCGGTCCTTTCTTAGTATTTGTCTTTCCTAATCGGAGGTTATGAATGATCAATTATGCTCAGTGGTTAATTGCCCTTCATAAAGACAGCTTCTGTATTTCTAATTAGGCAGGTAATTATCGTAACTAATAGCATCACCTTGGACACACAGACAGGTCTTCACCGGCACCCAGAATGTGTGATTCACGCCCACGTTAATGGAGCCGGGGAGTGAAGAAGTGGGGGTGCCGGGGGACCGATTATGCTAACGAGTGAGGATGTGACCTTCTCAGAACAGTGAGCAATCCGTGGGGCAGAGAGATGGCGGTGCCTCCCGTCTGCTGTTCCCAGCGCGACCCCCGAGGCCGGTGACTGCGACTGAAGAACAGAACCGACCGGCTCTGGGCTCAGCCTCGCTGTGCTCTGGGCCCGCGCAGCAGTTCAGAGCTAACTCAGTCCCGGGGAAAAGCTGGGGACGTGCTCTCCCTGTGGGTCCGTCCACCCTGCCCTGACCCCGGCCCAGCGATGCATCTCCGCCCGTGTTTCCTGACCCCTTGGACAGGTCCCAGGTCCTCTCTTCATTTCTCTTAGTTACTGAAAACGACCGTGGGCACCATGACTGTTAAAGTGGTGAAGCCAACACCTTACCCTGACTTGCTTCGGGGTAATCTGATTCCATCCTCCCCGAGCGCAGAGTCGCTGGGTTTGTTCCCTATGTACACCCCCAGGGCCAGGTGGCGGGCGGGCAGCGACTCTCACTACGCTGTGCTGAGGGGTCCACAGGACAGTGAGGCAGCAGGTGCCCATGCGAGCGACGAGAAGGCAGAGGCTCCAGGACACCTACGAGGTCACGCAACTTGTAAGCAGCAAATCCGACAATGGGCTGTGGCTCCGCGTGGCGGGCACGGGCCCTGGCACCAGCCTGCAAAGGCGGCTGGCACGTTCCCGGTAAGGAAGCACCGTGCCGGGCAAGGCCTGCAGCACCAGGAACACGGTCCAGCCCTTCCTGCTGGAAGGGAAACGAACACTACAGGTGGGAAGGGGTGTGGGCGCACCTGCGCATGCCCTCGGGGACAGCGCGCGACGGGATGGGTCAGCGCTGAAGGTGAGGCCCTGAATGGCCAGTGCTACGGCCTGAACGGTGTCAAACGAGGTCACGAGGGTGGGGCTGTGACAGGATAGGGCCAGCGTCCTCGTAAGAAGACAGCAGTGATCTCTGCGCGGGGAGACGAGGCCCCGAGGACTCAGCGAGCGGGTGGAGCTGTGGGCCCGGAAGAGAACTCCCCAGGAAATGAAGCCTGCTGGTGCCCTGGTCTTCCACGTCCCGCCGTCAGGACTCCGGGAAGATAAGGTCCTGTTGCTTGCTCCCAGCCTGCTGTGCCCGCCCAAACAGACCGAGGCCGCCGAAGAACCAGACGCTCGGCACCCCTGCTGGGACCTGCTGCCAGGGGCACTCGCGGCCTTGGGAGACCAGGAACATACAAACTCGGAAGGTCAGGGAAGCCGGAGCCAGGCATGGCTCCAGGGCCACCGCGCAGCCTGGGGCCCCATGGGGCGTGAATCCCAGAGATGTCAGCACCAGGGACAGGCCCAGCTCTGCGATGGGCCCTGTAATCCCCCCAACACCCAAAGCCTGGGGGACAGGGGACCTACTGCAGGGCTCCCCCAGCCCAGAGTGGGGTTCTGGCCAGACAGCCCCTCTGAGATCATGGCTGCTGCCTCAGCCCATTGCCCCCTCCCCAGGAGCCCTATGCAGATACCCCAACTTCCTGCGGCCACACCGGATCTTTGAACTGACCTTTACCTCGTCTTGGCAGGCCAGGACAAACCTGAGTGACAACGTCGTCGCCTGGTGCAATTACTGCGCATCACAGAACCGTCCCTGCAAATCACCTCGGACCTCACACATCTGCTGGCTGTCGCATCTGCCAGGGGCGCTCACCCGAAAATAATGGAAGCCCTCTCATTATCGCTCGGTAGCAGGTAGAGTGCTAGGACGATTACTGGACACCCTGACTGACCTTGGCATGGCTCCACGGCTGCCCGCTCAGCTCGCCACGGAGGGCCCAACAAGGCCCCTCCCCGCTGCGCCTGTCTCGGCCCCGCCCCCAGCACTCGGGACCGGCCACCTTCGGCTGACCCAGAAGGTCCTCGCATCCCCCAGAATCTGCCTTCACCGTCCCCAGTGCCAAGTCCTACTCATCCTTCGAGGCCTGGTTCATACACCCCTTCCTCCAGGAAGGCCCCAGCCCCACCCTGCCAGGCGGAGCCGTCTTCCTCTGCAGCCCCCACAGCCCTGGGTCTGCTCTCGGCATCGGCACCCCTCCTGTCCCGTTGCCAGCTTGGGGCTCCCGCGGGGTGCTCACTGAGCACTGCTGTCTGAGTCTGAGGACCTGGGCCGCTTCCCTTTCAGAAGCCACGGAGACTGAAACTCGTCTGGAGACACAAAACCTGCAAAGGGCTTCTGTGTTCTAAGAAGCCACATTTTTGGAACAGAAGGTCCAACTGGAGCCCATGATCAGAGCAGGGTTGGTGTGCAGTAGAAAAGTACAGTGGCCCGGGCACACTGGGGGACACCCACTCGATCCGGGAAGGGGCCCGATGGCCATCAGAGCAGGGTCAGGGAGCCAAGGGCTTTACCCCCTGGGAATGGGGTCTGCTTCCCAGCCAGGGTCCTGCACCTGGCACATGCCCTTGGCTGGGCATCCGGGGACTGGACTCTTGGGAGTCCTTGGTCCCAGCCATGAAACGGGGTAACCGCAGCACCTGGCCTTCGGGCCGGCTCCCCAGGGCTGGCCGCAGACACACGGCGAGCCCCCTCTCCTGCTCGCGTCACCTGTCACGGCCTCGCCAGGAGCTGCGCTGTCCCTTCTCTCCACGGACCCACCAGCGCAGACCTTCAGCAGGTCTGAGGGCAGCTGCCTCACCCACCTTTAGGTCCCCCCCACCCTCCAGCTGACACTGCTGGGCTCAGCGTGTCACAGAGTCCAAAGTCTGGACAGAGAGAAGAGAGGGCACAGGAGGTGGTGATGCGCATGGCTGACCCTGGACGGGCCACTCAGCCCTGGCCGGCCACCGGTGACCTCAGGAGGACAGTGATGAGGTCAAACAGACATCGAGCAGGCCTCTCCTGCCATCCGTGTTCCCTCTCAGACCTGCCTGAGCCTCTGAGCTCACGTCAGAGACATGCTGAGCCCACAGACGTCAGCTTACTGTTTATTAATAAACACAACGCAGAGTCAAGTACAGGGAACCTAGACGCCAGAGGAGGCCTTGGGGGTTGTGCAACCTCGTTGGCTCGTTTCACAGAGGAGGAGACTGCGGCCCAGAGAGACACGGGGGGCTGGAGGGAACGTCTCGGGGAGTCGTGGGCTCTCTAGACCACTCCCCAGCCTTGCCAAGTCAGCCGCCAGCCAGTCCTCGCTGAGTCCTCCCAGGCTGGTCCAGTGCCGGGCACTGCAGGGGACAGAGGCCAGGCGTTCCCAGGGTAAGGTGGAGCCTGGCCGGGCCAGCACCTCTGCCTCCTCACTGCGACCAAGGCCAGTCACCTGGCCTCTCCAACCTCAGCTTGCACATCTGTGAAGTGGGCACTGACAGCAGCTGCTGGATGGGCCGTCGTGAAGACGGCATTAAAAAGCGGACGAGGAGCGCCTGGCACGTTGCACATGCTCGTGAATGGCAGTGGTGGCCGTGGTGACAATGACCACCACACCTCCGACGAGCCTGGTGCTGGGTGCTGGGAGCTGGGACATGACAGGAAGCAGATGCCGGGTGACCCACGAGCAGCAGGAGAGTCAGGAGATGAGGAGGCCTCCCCTGCAGAGGGAGCCGAAGACAGTGCCTCCCAGGGGCACTGTTAGGATTCAGAGGGCAGCCCGGCCGGTGCGGCTCAGGGGCTGAGCACTGACCCAGCACCAAGAGGTCACCAGTTCGATTCCCGGGTTGTGGGCCTGCTCCCCAGTGGGGGGCGTGCAGGAGGCGGCCAGTCGATGTTCCCTGTCATCAATGCTTCTCTCTCTCCCTCTCCTTTCCTCTCTCTCTAAAAATCAATAAAGGAAAAAATTTTTTAAAAAACAAAACAAAATGCCCC